CCACAGTGACCATCTCGTTCCAACCTCCTGCCGTGTGCAGTAGTGTGTGTGTGTTACACAGGGACACACAGATCTCCATAGAGACTCATAGAGACCCACAGACACCCATAGATCCCCATAGAGACCTCAAGGGACCAATAGAGACACACAGATCCCTATAGAGACTCACACGGACCCATAGAGACCCACAGATTCCCCATAGGGACACACAGAGACACACAGATTCATAGAATCACAGAATCACAGAATGGCCTGGGTTGCAAAGGCCCACAGTGCTCATTCAATTCCAACCCCCTGCTGTGTGCAGGTCACCAACCAGCAGCCCAGGCTGCCCAGAGCCACATCCAGCCTGGCCTTGAATGCCTGCAGGGATGGGGCATCCACAGCCTCCTTGGGCAAGCTGTGAGTTGGCCTCACATTGCACTGGGGGATGCTCAGGTTGGAGATCAGGAGCAGCTGGTTCTCCTGTGGAGCAGTGGGGCACCAACGTGGGTTGTAAAGGAGATGGGGATCATCACCATCCCAGGGGTGTTGAGGACCACAGAGACGTGGCTCTGCTGGATGTGGTCAGTGGACACAGAGGGGTGGGGATCCAGCCTTTGTGATTCTGTTCTACAGCTCTGAATGACCTGCACTGCATGCAGCAACATGCTTCTCACTGCAGGAGGCTGCCACAAAAGAAAGTTACAACCTGTCAGCCACTTCCCACCCACCACATATGTGAGCTGAAGGTGCTTTTCCTCCCATACTCTGTTCTAAAGGCACTGCTTACAAACACACGCACAGAAATCCATCACAAAAAGTCACCAAAAGCCAACAGCATCTCTGCCCTCCCCTCAGTTCCATTGGCTCCAGGTGAGACCTGGGATATTCAACACAAAAACCAGCGTTGTAGCAAGTGCTGAACCCACACCATGCCCGCACATCAGTGCTCTCCCCACATTCATACAAAGCCTGAAACAACATTATGTGTAAAACAAGTCCAGAAGGGCGCAGGAAGAACAGCAATGGCAATTGTAAGCCTTCCCCTCCACACAACAGCTGCAAAACAGCTCCCTAGAAAGAGCAAGAACCCCAGCTTGGGCTCACTTAAACCTAGGTTACACATGGGCAAATGCTCCAGCACTCACTGCTCAGCAAGGACGGCATAACAGCACCTTCAGGGGACAACCATCACTCCAAGAATGGTCAGGAGTGCCATTCTCTGCTTTCTGCTCTCATTCACGATGAGGATTTTGGATAAGAACTAAACTTTGACCAAACGATAAGAAGCCAACATTAGGCAGCATTTTTATTGGTGAACCAAAGCTGCATTACAAGAGCACATACCTGTGCTGAGAGGTGGCTGGATCTGCTCTGTGCTGCAACTCAGGAGTGTGTTAGCACAGGGGCTGAGCCTGGCCAGCCCAGGGCATGCTTCACACTGCAACGTCCTCCTTGCTGGCTGCCAGCAATCCTCATTCACCTGCAAAAGAGGGAGAAATGTCACAGGAGCTCCTCACAGAGCTTTGGGTGATGGCAGCAGCACTGGGCCCTGCTGTGTGCCAGGCCATGGGGCTGGCAGCTCCTGCTGTGTGCCCATCCTTAGGGGTACAGCAGCACCAGGCTGAGGAACACAAAGCACAAACTCACAGAGTTTGGCTGCAACCTGGGACAAGAACCAGCAGCTCAAACATGAACTGCACCCAGCGAGCACATGGAGCAGCTCACAGCCATCAGAACCCCTGCTGTTATTTACACAGAGCAGAACTCCGTCCCATTACAGTTATGCCTTCACAGGCACACACAAAGCTGCTTTGGCAAAGCTTTCTGATGCATGAGGTAGGACAAGGGGAATGGTTTTAAACTGAGACAGGGGAGGTTTAGGTTGAATATGAGGAGGAAGTTTTTCACCCAGAGGTGGTGAGGCACTGGAACAGGTTGCCCAAGGAGGCTGTGGATGCCCCATCCCTGCAGGCATTCAGGGCCAGGCTGGATGTGGCTCTGGGCAGCCTGGGCTGCTGGTTGGCGACCTGCAAACAGCAGGGGGTTGGGACTGGATCAGCATTGTGGGCCTTTACAACCCAGGCCATTCTGTGATTCTATGGGTCCCTATGGGGGATCTGTGGGTCTCTATGGGTACCTATGGTTCTCTATGGGGGATCTGTGGGGTTCCTATGGGGTCCCTATGTGTCTCTTGGCGACCCTGCACATAGCAGGGGGTTGGAATGAGATGAGCATTGTGGTCCTTTTCAACCCAGGCCATTCTATGACTCTACAATAAGAGGTTTCCTCTTCCTGCACCCTTCTGCTCAGAAAAGGGATCCTAAGGGCAGCACTTCATGGCTCTGCCTTTATGGTATCTGTACAAAACCCCAGATGAGGCTGTTGAGTTCAGGACTCTGAATTGAGCTCTCAGCCATGCATGCTCACTCACTGCTGAGCCAGCCTGGGCTCCTGCTGTCCCTCCTGAGTGCCTGCAGTCTGTCTGCTCTGGAGTCGCACTCCTCTCTGAGCTCTGCATCATCCCATAGGATGGGCACAGCTCTGCCCCAGGGCACCACAAGTCCCAGAGATGCTCTGCAGCTCCTACCCCAGCACTGCAGGCAGAAGGACAGCCACACTTTTCTGTCCCATACAGCCAGACCACTAAACACCTTCATTAATGCTCTCACTGGTAACGGCATCCCATACAGAAAGGCAGCACGGAGAAGCTTCTGGAGCTCACATCACCTAAACCCAGCAGAGATGTGTGAGCAGTGCAGCCCCCCGCACAGCTCCAGGCTTTAGGACCCTGCAGGCAGCTCTGTGAGCCTGCGCCGTGCACGGCTGCAGCACAACTCCAGCACAGCCCAGCAGCGCCGCAACAAAGCCGGGGCACAGCAGGCACACAGCTCTGCACCTCACAGCACACGGGGAAGGCTTTCCTCCAGCTGAAAGCAAACTATCGGCACCACAGCAGCACGGCACCATGGAGCAGAGGACACCTCAGCCCAGCAAGGACAGGTCAGTGCTCTCCGCTCACCCCCACACCCCCCATCACTGCAGAGCAAGCCTGCCTCCCCCATTCAGCCCCCATTCAGCCCCCATTGCCCCAGGCACGCTGAGAACAGCTGATGTGACTGCATGCCCACTCTGCTTTGCTGCTGCAAGCTCTGCAACAGCCACCACTGCTCAGTGCTTCTGTTCTGTGCTGCACTGGGACGGCACTGCCCGCCAAGGGAAGCTCAGCTTCCAGGCCAGCAGCTCCTGGAGCCTCCCTTCTGCTTAGAATAGCAGGGACAGAAATAATAAACACTGAATTGCTGACAGCTGCTCCCAGTAGTTCCAAAGGAACTTCCGAGCGCCTGGTGTTAATTTGGCAGGGATCCTCCCTGTGAAGTAGGTCACAGCCACCACCTCACGTCAGAGAGCTGAGGGAGGAGAGAGGAAAAGAAATCTGCCCAAGGTCACATGGAAAGACCTTGGCATCTTCAATACATTAAAACACAGCACTGCACCTCACGATAAGGGCAGCCCTCCCTGCCGAGGCAGTGGCTGAGGGCAGAGAGCTGCATCAGGCATTGCTCAGAGCTGCGCTGTGCTGAATGCAGAGAAGTGGTGACTCAGAGCTGGAGGGGCTGCGAGGGACCTCTGGAGCTCCCCCAGTCCCACCCTTAGTCCGTTCCCCACAGCAGCTGCACGCAAAGCATCCCTTCTGGTGGCTTTGGGTACCAAAGGAGACCCACAGCCCCTGTGCTCTGTGCCAGGGCTGTGCCCCCCTCACAGCACAGCAGTTCTTCCTCGTGGCCGGGAGCTCCCCAGGCTGCAGGCTGTGCCCGCTGCCCCTGTCCTGGCACTGGGCACCAAACAGAGCCCGGCCCCATCCCCCGCCCTGCAGATCCCACCAGCACTGCTCAGATCCCCTCAGCCTTCTCTCCTCCACGTGCACAGCCCCGGGGCTCTCAGCCTGCCCCCACCAGGAGCTGCTCCAGGTCCCAGCAGCTGCCAGCCTGCCCTGAGCTGGGAGCCCCGCACTGGGCGCAGTGCTCCAGATGTGGTCTCCCCATGGCAGAGCAGAGGGGCCGAGCAGCTCCCTGCCCTGCTGGCCACTCTGTGCCTGCACCCCAGGGAGCATTGGGCCTCCTGGGCCACCAGGGCTGCTGTAGTGCTGGCTCGTGGTCAGCCGTTGGCCATCAAGACCCCGCGGTTCTTCTCCGCAGGGCTCCTCTGCTCCTCTCCAGCAGCGCAGCCCGACCCGCGCTGTCACTGCAGCTGTTCCGCTCCCCCCACGCCCAGCCCAGCCCTGCCAGCCGAACCCAGCAGGTTCCCCTCCGCCAGCCCTCAGCCCGCCCGGCAGCGCCGGATGGCAGCGCGGCTTTCTGGGCTGTCAGCCGCCCCTCCCAGCTTCGTGCCCACGGCTCGGGGTGCCTCCGTCCCTCCGTGCATCGCAGCGCCGAGCGCCACAACCACTGCAGTCGGAAGAGACCCCTAAGGTCGTCCGGCCCGACCACCAGCTGCTCCCCAGCGGCAGCTCCAGGGCCGGGGGCTGCGCGGCTCTCCGGGCACCGAACGGCAGACCTGAACCGAACCGGCCTGACCCCGACCCGGCCCCGCGCTGCCCCCCATCGCTGCTCCCCGTGCCGAGGCCGCCCCCCCCGCTCCCTTCGGGCGGCCACTCACAGTTGAGGCCCCGATCCCCCCGGCCCGGCCCGCACGGCACGGCGATCCCCGCGGAGCCGCCGGCGGCAGCGCGGCCCTCAGCTCGGCCGGCGGAGCAGCACGGATCGCCCCGCGGCCCGGAGCCCCGCCGCGCCGCCGTTCCCCGCCCGCCCCCCGCCGCCGCCGGTACCTCAGCGCCGCGCCCGGCCCCGATCTGGAGGCCCAGAGCCGCCGCCCGGCCGCGAAGCCCCCCGCGAGGACCCCTCGGGCTGCCCGTAGCCGCGCCTGACGGCCGGCACGGCCCGCAGTGCGGCCACACGGTGCGGCACGGCTGTGGGCAGCCCGGGGGGAGAGGCGGAAGGACCCCGGCTGCCGCGCGCATGCGCGGTGAGCCGAGTGACGCCGGCCGGGCGTGGGGGCGGCGGGGCGGGGCGCGGGGCGCTGCCCCGTGGGTCGGGCCGGGCGGGAGGAGGAAGCGAGACGGGCCGGGCCGGGCGCAGCCGGTAAGCGGCCTACCGGGACCCGGCCCGACCCCCGGCACCGCGCGGGCAGGGCTGGGTTCGCGGGCGCGGTGGTCCGGCAGAGAGCGGCTCCGTGCGGCGCGCGGTTCCCCGGTTCCCCGGTCGCTGCCCGCCCCGCCCCGGAGCTGCCGGGCGAACCGCGGGCCGGGAAGGAGCTCTGAGGTCGCCGCGCCCGGCTGCAGCCAGCCCCGTCCGGGCCGGCCGTGACGGCGAGGGGCCGCCCGGCGGCTGGGATCGGCGGGGCTGCGCCGTGCCGAGCTGCGGGTCCGGCGGCGTCCAGCCCCACCGCGCGCTGCGTGCCGCCGCCGTGCGGAGCTGCCGTGGGAGCGGCGCCGCGGCTCCGTGCCGGGTATCGCTGAGCCCGCCGGGCGGCACGCAGCCGGGCACGAGGCTTGTAAACGGCTCCGCGGGCGCACTGAATACGCCCCGGCCGGCCCTGCCGCTCAGCCGTTCGTTTCCCCGCAGCAGTCGATGCCCCGGAGGAAGGCGGTGCCGGCGCTGGGCAGCCTCTGCCTGCAGAGCTTGGTGCAGCACATGCAGAGCGTGTGGGTGAAGGACTACAGCGAGAACTACCTGGATGAGTACAGCTTCCGCTTCGTTATGGGCCCCTTCAACGACCTGGGTGAGCTGCGGGGAGGAGGAGGAGGAGGAGGAAGGCAGGCGGGCAGTGCTGCTTGCTGACCCGCATTGCCCGCAGCCGGCAGTTTGGTGCAGGACCTGATCCGGCTGCTGGGCGAGAGCCGCCGCCTGTCGCGTGCTGCGCTGCATCTGCTGCTGCTGCCTCACCTGCAGGAGCTCAGCCTGCAGCACTGCCACAGCCTGGTCAGCAACGCCATCGGGCAGCTCATCACCGTGCGCTGCAAGGTGAGCGGGGCTGGGGGGGCAGGGGGTGCCCGCCGTGGGGCTGCGAGCGGAGCCAGTTGGCGTTGCATGGGGCGGGGTCTGGCAGCTGCTGTGGGACTTCAGGGAGTTGACGAGGGGCACTGGTCTGCACTGGTCTGCATTGGTTTTCCCCTGCCAGCACTGCTTGGGCACGAGGCCGTCTGCCGCAGCGGGGCTGTGGGCCGGGCGCTGCAGGGTGGTGGCTGCAGGCTGGCTGTGGGTTCGGGGGGCGCCGTGGGCACCGCAGGCCCGGCTGACGCGGCTTCGTCTGCGGGCGCAGAGCCTGAGCGCGCTGGACCTGCACGGCTGCAGCCGGCTGTCGACCGACGTGCTGGTGGACCTGGTGGAGGAGCTGCCCCTGCTGAGCCGCCTGGGGCTGGCGGAGACGCAGGCCAACGTGCAGGTGCTGGCGGCCGTGGGCTCCTCCTGCCGCCGCCTGCGGGAGCTGGACGTGTCCCGCTGCAGGAAGGTGACTCCGCGCGCCCTGCGGCACCTGGCCTACGACCCGCTGGAACGGACCCCGGGCTGCCCGACGCTCCGCGTCCTCCTGGCGCGCGGCTTGGAGCCGGCGGGGGACGACGCGGTGTCGGCGCTGGCCTTCGTGCTGCTGGCCCTGCCGCTCCTGGAGGTGCTGGCGCACGGCGACGCGCCGGCCGCGCTCGGCCTCCTGCACGCGGGGCGGCTCGACGGCACCGGCGACGCCGACGGCTTCCCCTCGCTGCGGGAGCTGGCGCGCCGACGCGGCGGCCCTCCGCTCGCGCTGCCCCTGCGGCGCCTGGAGGAGCTGACGGAGCCCGAGCTGGCGGCCGCCCGCGCCGTCTGCCCCGACGCCGAGGAGGTGACCGCGTGCCTCGGGGACGGCGCGACGGACGGCTGGGACGCGCTGCTGAGCTGGAGCCGCCTGGCCCGCCTGGGGCTGTCGTGTGCGGGGCCGCGGGGCCGGGCGCTGTGCGAGGCGCTGCCGCTGGCGCGGGGCCTGGGCTCGCAGCTGCGGAGCCTGGCGCTGCACGGCTTCCTCTTGGAGGACGAGCTCGCCCTGTGCGCGCTGCTCGGCTGCTGCCCCAACCTGCGGGACTTCAGCGCGGAGCTGCAGCCCCCGCCGCGCGGCCGCCCCGACGCCGAACCGCCCGAGGAGCCGCCGCGGTGGGACACGGAGCTGCTGCCCCGCGATCTGCCCCGCCTGCAGCGCTTCTCCCTGGCGCTGCCCGGGCCGGTGCCGGAGCCTCACGGGCTGCTGCTGCGCGCCACGTTGGCGTCGCTGCTGTGCCGCTGCCCGCGCCTGCAGAGCCTGCGCCTGCTCGGCATCGCGCTGCCGCTGGACTCCGTGTTCGAGACGGTGCTGACGGCCCCGGGGCCGCCGCTGCAGGAGCTGCAGGAGCTCTCGCTGGTCGAGAGCCGCGTGTCCGGGCGCACCGTGCGGCTGCTGTTGGCCTCCGACGGCTGCCTGCGCCGCCTCGACGTGTCCCGCTGCCGCGATGTGCACCGCCGCGACTACGACGGCTTCCTGCAGGCCGTGCGGAAGCAGCGGCTGGACCTGGACATCATCTGGGAGTAACGCTCGCACCGAGGCCTTTAATAAAGCGCTTACACCGCGGCCGCTCGCTCCGTCTCTGCCCCATCGCGGCTCCTACCGAGGAGGGGTCTCGGGCCCGCCCACCCTATGGGCTCAGCCCCGTCAGCCGCTCCGACTCCTCCCAAAGCTTGCGGGCCAGCCCTGCGTCCCGGGCGGCTGCGGAGGGCAGCGTGAGGCTGCAGTCGCTGCCGAAATACTTCCCTGAGATGCCCGAGACCTCCTCCGAGACGGCGCAGTAAATGGTGCTGACGGCCCCCTGCTCCGCCGACTGCCGGGAGGAAAAGAGCTGAGCGGGGGCCCCGCCGCCCCCTGCCCACCCAGAGCCCCGTCGCCGGGGATGGCCCCGCTCACCTTAATGAAGGGGCTGATGAGGAAGAAGAGGCCGCGCATCGCCCAGCTGAAGTTGCGCATGATGCCGGTGCTCACCACGCCGGGGTTCAGGCTGTTGGCGGTCACCCCTGCCCGGCGGCACCGTCACCATCCGCCCCACGGCGGGCAGATCCCCCCGTGCCAAGCAGGGACCCGTGGGACGGCCCCAGAGAAACGGGGCTGAGGCTCCGCACCCAGCCAGGGCAGCAGGAAGGGCCCCGACCCCACTGGTGGGGTGTTCGTGGGGTCCTAAAGGGCTGAGCTCCTGCAGCCCCCCCTGCAGGCCCTGCACCGTGGCACTGCTGTGCAGTTGGGGTGGGTGGGCAGCCCTGAGGTGCTGCTGTACCTAAGAGCCTGCAGCCAAACGCAACAGGGGCACAGCACGGTGTGGCACAGCATGGCATGGCACAGCACAGCATGGTACAGCATGGCATGGCACGGCATGGCACAGCACGGTGCAGCACAGCATGGTACAGCATGGCATGGCACGGCATGGCACAGCACGGCACGGCACGGCCCATCACCCACCCGTGCCCTGCAGGCGCTGCGCCAGCTCGGCGGTGAAGAGGATGTTCATCAGTTTGGTGCTGTTGTAGACGGGGTCGAAGCCGCCGGGCCGCGCCCGCCCGGTGAGGAATCGGGTGTCCGCGGTGCCCGCGCTGTGCCGGAAGGACGAGACGGTGACGATGCGGGCGGGCGCCGACGCCTTCATCAGGTCTGCGCGGAGCGGGGGATGAGCGGGGCGGCCCCGGGACGCCCCCCAGCCCGGCAGCCGCCCGCGCCCGGCCCGCAGCCCTCAGCTCACCCAGCAGCAGGTTGGTGAGCAGGAACGGGCCCAGGTAGTTGGTGGCGAAGGTCCGCTCCAAGCCCTCGGGCGTGAGGGCGAAGGGCAGCCCTGCAAGAGGCGCGCGGTGCGGTGCGGCCGCGGTTTTACCGCAGCGGGGCGGCGGTGGGCGCGGGACGTACCGGTGAGGCCGGCGTTGTTCACCAGCACGTCCAGGCGCTTCTCCTCCCGCAGCACCTCCCCGGCGAAGGCGCGCACCGAGGCCAGCGAGCTGCTGTCCAGCAGGCGCAGCACCACGTTGGGGTTGCCGGTGGCCGCCCGGATCTCCGCCGCCGCCGCCTGGCCACGCTCCCGACTCCGGCACGCCAGGATGGTGCGGGCGTTCCTGCGGGCCAGGTCCATGGCCACGCACTTTCCGATCCCTGTAACGCACAGAGTGGGCGATGCCTGCAGCCCGTGGGATCCGTGCCCCCCAGGTGGGGACAGGGCAGGGTGGCAGCGGGGTCCCCATGCTGGCGCCGCCAGGAGCTCAGCACCAAACCGAGGGCACCACGGCTCGGGAGCTGTGGGTGTCAGCATGGGGCAGAAACGGGGTGGTGAGGAGTCTTAAGTTGAGGGAGGGAAGATTGAGGTTGGATGTCAGGGGGAAGCTGTTTGCTGTGAGAGCGGTGAGGTGCTGGAACAGCTGCCCAGAGAGGCTGTGGATGCCCCGTCCATCCCTGAGGTGTTCAAGGCCAGGTTGGATGGGGCCCTGGGCAGCCTGAGTTGGTGTGAATTGTGGAGGTTGGTGGCCCTGCATGTGGCGGGGGCTTGGAGCTTCATCATCCTTGAGATCCCTTCCAACCCGGGCCGTTCTGTGATTCTGTGGACAGCATGGGATGGAGGTGCTGTGGGGTGTGGGAAGGAGCCAGGCTGGCAGCTCATTGCAGCTCCTGTCACGTGGCAGGAACCGATGGGGATGGGATGGGCCCAGGACACGTGCAGCCATGCTGTCCCCAAGCACAGCGGGGCACACAGCAGGGGTGGCCCAACACACAGCCCTATGCTGCACCAAGGGACACTGTGGGAACAGAGAGCCCAGTGCCCAGTGTGAAGCTCAGGGTCGAGGCAGTGCAGGGACAGGCGGTGGCCTTGGCTGTCAGTCATTAACCTGGCAGGGGCAGAGTCCAGCCATGGGACTGCTGCCGGGTTACCTGGCACAGTGCGAGGCGCAGCAGCTCCAGGCAGTGTCACTGATGGACACAGCTTCCCAGCACACGGCTGGCAGTGAGTGTGGGGCAGAGCGTGGGGCAGCAGGAGCGCAGCGCACGCAGCCCGGGGACCAGCAGCCACCTCTCCTGCAGCCGTCGGTGCCACCAGAGCAGGAGGGCAGGGACCCACGAGCCGCCCCACGGCACCACGCAGCCCCACACATCACCCTTGTCCCACAGCCGCCTGTCCCACAGCGCAGCACCTGCAGCCCCTCGCAGCCCCCTGGCGCCACCAAGGCCCTCTCACCGCTGTTGGCTCCAGTGACGATGACCGTCTTGCCGGTCAGGTCGGTGGGACACCTGCGTGGGTCCCAGGCACGTCTCCTCGTGGCCCAGAGGAGCATCCCCAGCAGCAATGCCAGCACAAACCACAGCGGGTGGCTGCAGAAGCCCGGCAGCTCCATGGCTGTGGCCGGGGGGCAGTTGAGGCACCGAGGAGCGGCCGGGGGACAGAGTCCAGCTCAAGGTGTTGGCCCGGCCCCGCAGCTGTGGCACCGTGCAGTTCCCTGCTGATCCCCCAGCAGCAGCACACGGCAGCTCCGCCAGCTGCTGGAGCACAGAGCAGGGACAGGCTGTCCGCGCTCCGTCGAGTTATAGAGCTCTTACGGCTTCCTGCAGCATGAGAAGAGTTCTCTGAACCGTTCTCCGAATCGTTCTGCTTTATTGTGTTCAAGATACATCTGATGTACCATTCACTTACAAGCCAGAAATTCCTATCCTCTAATTCCCATTCCTCTAATCAGTTAATTGGCCTCGCTTCTCCCACACAACAGTGATAAAGGATGAAAGGTTCCTTTAGTGTGATAAGGTTAACAATGCATACAAAAGGAACCTCCTGTTTACCCTTACCCACAGATACCATTTGCTCTCTGTCTTACACTCCAGACTCCCAAGGTTTCACAGTGATAGGGTCTATCAAGGAGTCTGATAAACTCTTTGCTGACTCGCTCACGTTACATCTTCCCCTACAACAGGCAGCTGCAATTTGGCCATGGGATGCACAGCAGAGATGGGCAGTGGGGTGGGAGAGCAGCCTGAGTGTATCTTGTCCCAGAGGAGATCCTAGGCTGCTCACCTGTGTGGCTCGAGCCTGCTAGAGAGGCTCCCCAAGGCTGCAGGGGTGCCCCCTGCCCACTCCGTTCCAGTGCTGCAGACTCCACTGGAGGCTCCATCCTGGGGATGCAGGCACGGTTCTTCCCACAGACCTCCTCTGCTCCTTCTTTAGCTCCAGTGCTATTTCCCTCTAGAGGCATCCAGCTTCGACACTCCCTTCATTGGGCATGGCCAGCACTGCCACTCTTCTCCACATACATCTCCCCTTTCCACACTGGTGATCTCCTCCCCAGCGGAGCTGATCTAAGCATCACCTGGAGCACTGCAGCCACAAACTGCTCCGAAGTTGAGGCACGGCTGCAGCCAGGTGCTGCCAGAGCCACCAAGCAGCCCTGCGGCAGCTCTGCCCCCATGTGCTTCCCAGCATGGCTGCACAGCGAGTGCACAGTCTCACTGCAGTCCCTGCTGGTGCCACGCTTGTAGTGCCCATCAGCAGCACACAGAGCCCAACGGCAGCACACAGAACCCATTGGGGCTGGATGCAGCACTGCTCTGGACAGCAGCAAGCAGCAGGCCCTGCTGGCATGGGAGCCCAGGTGCCATGGCAGTGGTGGCCCCGGTGCAGCCAGCAGCACTGGCGTAGCAGATGAGTCCTGACTGAGTGACTGCTGCGAGCTCAAAGCGGGCCCTGAGGGACAGGAAAACCACAGCAGGCACCTGGTCTGCCCCCAGCTGATCTCAGCCACCCTTGGATCTAAGGTTAAAGAAGGGTCCAAAAGCCCAGGAAGGGTCCGATAAATAGAGGTGCACACAAGTCTGGGGGGGCTCTCTGCACCAAACACCCCCATCAGCAGGTCTGACACTGCGTCTAGGACTGCTGATCTCTCTGCCTCTCCATCTCTTTCTCTTCCTTCTTTTTCCCTTGCAGCTGCTGAGAGGTGCAAGGCTCACCCAGATTTCCCTTGAAACTACAGAGTGGGGGTGGATGTGGCTGTGGGAGGGCCAGCTCCTGCAGCAGATCCGTTCTGCAGAGAGCTTCCACTGAGACTGATGTTTGTGTACAGACCCCGAGCATTCCTTCACCTTAATCCTATGGGGGCTGCCGAAAGCAGGGGGTTGGCAGCTGGCATCCACCATGCCCACAGCAAGGAGTGGAGGCACCACGATGCCCCAGGACAAGGATGGGACGGGGCCCCAAACAGAGGGAGCTCTCACCCCACGCCGCACTCAGACCCACAGCCAGGAGATGTTGGAATCTGCTGTATTCAAGGCACACCATCGCCAGTGACCTGCCTGACTGCGATGGCAGGGAAGGGCACAGCGGGGCGGAGGGGCCTCAGGTCCCTCTTGGCCTCTCCCGTCTCCTCCTCCTCATCCTCTCTCTGCACAGGGAGGCACAGCCTGCGCCCCTCGCTGCCTCCGTGCCTGATGGTGACACCAGGAGCCAGCTGGACGGTGCCCAGTAAGGAGCCCCGCACCGGGGACTGGGAACTGCTGGGCTGCTGAGCCCCCGGGATGGGCGGTAGGAGCCGCGGTGCCCCCGCAGCCGCCGGCCCTCGGGGGGACGACGAGGCACCCGGCCCCACGTCCCGCCCAGAGGGGCGGCGGGGCTGCCGCCGGTGCCGGAGGGGACGCGGCTGCCGCTCGGTCTTTGTGCCTGAGTCCAGCACCTCCACCTGGGGCTGGATCCAGCGCACGGAGGGGTCCGGCTGGGCGGTGCTGCGCCTATTGCACGCCCTCACCTCATCGCGCGGAGATCTCCATGCCCAGACCTTCATCAGGTCGCTGCAGGAGGGGGGCTGTGACACTCCGTGCCCGTCAGCTTCTGCTGCATCGCTGACCTCCGTCCACAGCTGTGGCTCTGGGTGTTTGACGCCAGGCAGGCGCCGGGGCCGCGCCGTTTTGGGGCTGAGCGGGGCCGGCACAGCGGGGCTGCCCGATAATCTCGCGGAGAGCTGGGGAGCATCGAGCACCTCATCCTGCGCCAACGGTGTTGGGGAAGGCAGCGGCACGCCGCCACCCTCAGCCTCGGATGTGACGGCGTCCGTGTCGGCGCTGGACACCTGGGCAGAGCACAGGGACCGCAGTGGGGCCGGGGGCACAGAGCGCGGCGCCCAGCCTCCCCGAGAAAGGGCAAAGAAGGGCTGCTTAGGGGCGAGTTACGGCGTCCCGTCGGGGTGAGCCGACTCCCCCACCCCGGCCCCACGTGCGAGGAGAACAGAAACCCGCGGTGCTGGGGGGGGAGGGAAAGGCGCATCACCTCTCCGTGCCCCGGGGCTGGACGCGCTCGCAGGGTGGGCACGGCGCCCTCAGCCCAGGCTTCGGTGGCAGCCGGCTGGGGCTCCTCGTCCTCCCGCCACGCTCCCGCCGCCTCCAGCGCCGCGTCGCCCTCATCCCGCGCCGGGAAGCGCCACGCGGCCGCCCGCAGCAGCTCAGCCCTCGCCCGGCTCACGGCGAACGGCACGCACTGCGCGCGCAGGGCCGCGGGTCGGCGCCGTGGCGGCGGCTCGAAGCGCGGCCGGAGCCCAACGCGGACGCCGGGCGCGGCCCGGGCTGCGCGCCGCCCACCTGCCGGGCCAGCTCGGCCTGGAAGCGGCGCTCCACGACGGCTGCCAGCAGCTCGGCCACCGCGTCCCCTACGACGTCGTCCCGCTCCTCGGCCGCCAGCACGGACAGCCACTGCGCCTCGCACAGCCGCCCGGGGGCCGCGTCCGGAGGGGCGGCGCTGGGGGTCCGCGCTTTGTCCCCGCGCTGCCGGGCAGCGGCGCCGCGCTCGCGGGAGGCCATGTCCTGCGCGGGGACACGGCGGCCGCGGGGCTGGAGGCGGCGGCTCCGGGCTGCGCGCCCTCCCGGCCCGGCTCTGCCCGGCGCCCAGCTCCCCCCGCTATCCCGGACCCTTCCGGGGACCCCGGACGCCGCCCGCCGCCCCGCTCACCCGCCCCGCTCACCTCCCGCCGGGCGGCGTCTCGGTCTCCACGGCAACGTCGCCTCCGAATCCCGGCGCTTCGTGATGACGTCATCACGACGCGCCCGCCTCCGTGTCGCTCTTATGTCATCGCTCGGCGCCGCCGTCTCCATGGTTACGGCGGGCAGCGGCCGAGCCGCGGAGCGGGCGGGGCGGAGAGCGGCAGCGGGACCGGGAGCGGCGATGTACCGCCGGGAGAAGAGCATCGCGCTGCGCGGCAGCTCCTCGGCGCTGTACAACAACCTGAGCGTGCTCCGCCCGCCCCACAGGCCGCTCGCCTTCCTCGGCTCCGTGCACGGCCCGGCCGTCACCGTGCTCAGCGCGGCCGGCGACGCGGCGGGCTGCGCCCAGCGGCAGCTGCAGGCCCGGGCGGGCGGCGGGGCCTCGCTCGTCACGCAGGTGGGACCCCGCGCCGCCCCTCGGCCGGGCCGCCGTCCCCGAGCGGAGCCGCGACGAGCCGGGCGGGGTGCCGGCGGAGGGCCGGGCGGCCGTTACCGACGGCGGCGGGACGCGAGGCGGCGCCGCGAGCTCGGCCTCCGCTCCGGTTTCCCTCCCGGCGGCCCGGCGCGGCGCTCGCTCTGCTCTGGGCGCGGCGCTCCTGGCGCTGAGCGCGGGGAGGTGGGGGGGCGAAGGGGCGAGAAGAACCCGCCCTGCTGCGGGGCGCTGCTGGCACGGGGCTGCAGCCCGCAGTGTCGTGCGGTGCGTGGAGACACAGAGTGTCTCGGGTCGAAAAGGGCCTGTGAGGACCGCCGAGTCCGACCGCGGAGATGGGAGGGAAGGAGCTTCCTGAAGATTTTCCCCGAGGATGATGCTTCCCAGCTCCCGCCGCGTTCAGCAGGAGCCGGAAACACGCGGCTCCGGGCAGCTCTGGGGAGGGATGAGGGCTGCTGGTCCCCCGCTGAGCTGTGCTTCCTTCCAGGCTGCCTGGTGTGTCCTGCCGGCACGCATCCTGCTGGTGCTGACCTGTCAGAAAGGCATCCAGGTGAGGTGTTCTCCTGCCCGGGATGACAAACACAGCACTGGGAAGGTGAACTCACTGTGGTGGCATCTGGGCTCAGGGCTGTGTAACCAGAGCACCGCTGCTCCCTTTTGGAGACCCCTTGGGGCAGCAGTGGAGCACGAGGCTGTAGGAGCTTTGCCACAGTCCAGGTCTCATTGGTCTTTTTTTTCTCTTTCCAGATGTATGAATCAGATGGATCCATCATGGTGTATTGGCACGCACTGGACATCCCAGAGCACCCTCCAGGTAAATCCCACGGCAGGAGCGCAGTGAGGAGCCCCCAGGCCCTCTGCCCACTCTTCCCAGGGCTGTGAGACCGAGTGTTCCTGTCGTGCAGCCCCGTTCCTGCTGGCTGGAGACACCCACAGCATTGCTCCTGTGTCCAGGCTGGACTGAGTCAGGCCAGGGCCGCTCAGCAACTTAGCAGAACTGTCTGGAGGGAGTTCTGTGTCACCCCAGCTCCACTGTGCAGGCACAGTGTAGGCTTAGGGTGGGTGGATGGGGACCCATTGTGGTAACTGTAGGAGGGATGGCACTCACACCAGCATCCTGGTGATGATGTGAGCTGCTGCAGGCTGCAACCCAACCAGCTCCTGCTTCCCTTTCAGCACAAGCCGTGTTTGCCCGAGGGATCTCTGCAGCAGGAGAACGTTTCATCTGCGTGGGTGAGTGAAGCACCGGGAGGAAGAACGGGCAGGGCTGCACCAGGTGGTGTTCGTGTAGCCATGGGTGAAGCAGGGTGACGTGGTGACAGCTGGAGGAGCTGTGCTCACCTCGTGGCTCCCGCAGGGAACCGTTCTGTGTGAGCCAGCCTCACATGGGCACAGGGCCTGGGAGAGAGCGCGGCGTGACTGCAGACACGGTGCTGGAGGCTGGGTGGTGGGACAGCAGGACAGCAGTCCCTGCCGACACCTTTGGTGTGCTCCTTCTGCAGGGCTGTCCTCTGGGATGGTGCTGGTGTTCGACATCCCCCACAAAGGGACCAACATCACGGTGAGTGAGGTCCTGAAGGAGCACCACAACGCCATCACCGACATCGCTGCCGAGCTGGGCCAGGCACCGGTATGTTGTGGCTGCCAGCAGCTGCTGGGGCCAAAGTGTGCCATGAGGGGGGGCAGGGGGGCTGCAGCTGTCCCTCGGTGCTGTAGAGGCCATCCTAACATGTGGCACAGTGCCCTCCTTGGCCAAGCCTGGTCTCTGCTGCCTGCAGGCAGGTGGCCGAGTCTCGGCCTTGGTTGGCCAGATTCTGGAAAGACAAACTGCTGAGGCTGAGACTGTCTTGACAGGGATGAGGAGCTGAGGCCCTTTTGCACAAAGAGTGACTGTGAGAGTGTGACTAATTGCCAGAGAATAGCCTGTGATACATCAGGGTGCGTGCCAGGACACAGAAGAGCTATTGAAAGCTGAAGACCAGACTTGTAACAAGAGCAAGCGAGCAAAACTGGCTGCGAATAAACACACACCAGAATGCAAGTTCCCACCATCAGGGAGCTACTGGCACAGACCCTCCTGAGACCCCTGAGTGGGGTGAGGGGGAGCACAGCCCCATCCTACCCCATCTACACAGAGATCCTGGGCACTGCGGGACACAGGGCTGCAGTTCTGCTCAAACCCGGCTTGGGGAGGTGGGGAAGCTGAGGGCAGTGCTGCTCCTGGGGCAGGGGGCTTCTGGGGGCAGACCCTGCTTCCCCTCACTGCCCTCAGCAGATGGGAGGAGGTGTCTTGCCATGCTGTCACCAACAGCACAGTGACACTTCTCATATCAGATGGAATAACTCTGCCCAATTACAAAGCTCAGTCTGAAATCGGGATGGGTTCCTTTGGTTCATTCTGTGTGACATCTCTGCAGACACACTAATTGGCTTCCTCATTACTGGCTGCATCTTTCCCAATGAGGACGCTTTGATACACTTTCTCTAATTAGGTGCACTTAACTTTCTCTGCGTTTGGGACTCCCTTGAACAATTAATTGCTTAGAACTCGTTCCCAATTAGCCTGGATATCGAGCTTGTTTGTGAGAGCTGTTCTGTCATCCTCTCTGTCTGACTGGTCTCCAACACGCTGCTCTGCACTGCAGTGAGCAGAAGGGACAGTGCCTTGCTGCGAAACCCCAGAGCACGTCCGTGTTAGGGTGAAGTGTGTCGAGACTCCAAAGCAGAGGGAGGAGATGCAGTAATTGTTCCCACAAATTTTCCCCCGTGTGTAATTAGCATTGCCAAACACTAGCATGTTTAAACTGAAACTCTCACACACAGTCACGGCTAAGCCTTCCTCTTTCACAAAATGTCAGCAGTTTCTGTGGGCAGTTGAACTTTAAGCTTGTTGTGCTGTAGGCTGTGGCTTTTATGTACAGCAGCTCTGGCTGTGCTGGCGGCAGCAGCTTCTGCCTGGCATCGGTCAGCAGCTCACTGCCCTCTGCCAGCGCCTGCCCCACGGCACCACTGAGCCTCAGCTGCTCCCACAGGCTGGGGCCGGGGACCTGGTGACTGCTGACGACGCCGGGACGCTGTGCGTGTGGAGCTCTGGAGAGGAATTCTCCTTGCTCAACAGGATCCCAGCCTTTGGGTAAGTCCTGGCTGTGAGACGATGCCCCGCGCGCCCGGCCGGAGCGCTGCAGGGCTTTGTGTGGGCCAGGACAGGAGGGGATGCACGGCCCTGCAAGCGGGTCTGCAGCTGGGAGGGGAAGGTGACCCGTGCCCTTGTGCCCAGCTGGACCTGCTCCTCTGTGAGGCTCTGGAATGGGATCATTGCTGCTGGTTATGGCAACGGGCAGATCCGGCTGTACGAGGCAGCGACGGGCAGCCTGCGTGCCGAGGTCAGCGCACACGCCCGCTGGATTTATGCCCTGGACCTGGCACCAGCCACAGGAAAGGTATGGCCTGGTGGGCCTGGAACAGGGCAGGGGCTGCTCTGTGCTCAGCACGCTGTGCTGCATCACCCTGCCGTGCCCACGGCCTCTCTGCTGTCCCCCTGCAGCTGCTGTCGGGTGCGGAGGACTCCTTTGTTCACGTCTGGAAGCTCAGCAGGAACCCAGACACTGATGATGTTGAGGTGAGTGTGAGACACAAGCAAGCAGCAGGGATGCTGGACAGGGTCACTGCGGGCTGCTGCTGTCCTGTTGGCACCACGGGTCGGTGCTGTAGGGTTACATCTCCTGCCATGAGAGGTCGGAGGGCTGAACTGCTGCATGGAAAGCCAGCCGAGCTGCTGCAGTGGTTCAGCTCCTCCTCCTGTTGGCACGATCCTGAGTCTTGTCCTGGGGCACAGGAAGGGAATGGTTCCTGGGCTGTGAACTGGCCAGCTGTAGCCACGTGCTGCTGGCCCAGCTCTGCTCCTCTTCCTGCCCCTTGCTCAGAGGGGTTCCCTCTGTGTTCATAGGAGGGTGCAGACCTGAGGCAGCTCAGGCTGTGCTTATTTACCCGTGCCCCTCACCGCGTTTCCGTGCAGATCGAGCACTGCCACGCCGAGTGCGTCACCGACACCCAGATCTGCGGTGCCCGTTTCTGTGACCCCGAGGGAAACTCCTTTGCAGTGACCGGCTACGACCTCAGCGAGATCTTCTGCTACAGCCAGGTGTAACTGCGAGCCACGCGGGCTGCTGTGGGGCTGCAGCAGGGAGAGCTGGGCTGCCAGCACCCCTCCCGCCTCCAACACAGCGCCGTGCCCCGGCAGGGTGGGATTCTGCAAGCAGCTGGAGCTGAGATCAGTCGCTCCCAAAGCAACCCTGCCCTCGGAGTGGCATGTCTGCACATGGGGAGCACGGGCTGGGAGCCGCGCGGGCTCCACGAGACCCAGCTGTGCAGCACTGTGGGTCCCCGGGCCAGAAGCTGCCCCCCTCCCCCTCCCTGGGAGAAGGATGCAGCCGAGGTGATGTGGCTGAGCAGCAGCAGCCCCCCCCAGAGGCTCTCATAGCAGCACTCCCGTCCGTTCCCTGCAGGGAGGAGCGGAACTGACTCCTCTCTTCCCCACGGCACCTTTCCTTCAGACAGGAAGGGATCCAGGCTAAACCTGTGCTACGTGCCACTCCGGCCGGGTGGGCCGCAGCAGCCGGTCCCCCCCCCAGGCGGCCGCACCCATGGGTGCCGCAGCACGGCCCGCCCTGGCTCTGGGCTCACACTCAGCAGAGCAAGGCGAGGCCTCACGCCCTGCCAGCGCTGTGGGCACACGCACGGCTCCCAGCAGGACTGCTGTGCTCAGCAGCCAGCCGTGCGGGGCTGCAGCTGTGCTCCCGTGCTGGAAAAAGCAGAGGCTGCGCTGCGCTCTGCTGGGACGGCTGCGTGCCCCGGGGACGGGCTGCGAGGTCACTGCGCACGGCCACGGCCCTGCTGTCACCCCGTGGGCTGGGAGCTGTGCTGGAATTGGGGGCACGCTGTGTGCTGGAGTTCTCCCCGTGCTGCCATCACCTCCCCCTCCGTGTCCCAGGCGGGGCTCGGCGGTGTCACAGAGCTCCGTGTCCCAGCCTTCCCTGCCGGCTGCAGCGGGGCCAAACCGCCGGCTCCGTTCCCAGGGCCGTACGGGGCAGGGGGTGCGTGGGGGGCTCGGGAGGAGCTCAGCCCCGCTCGGGCTGCTGCTTGGCAGGCAGGGTGGGAGCTTCCTGCAGCTCTCGGGTCCGGCACGGCCCTGCGGGAGCTTTTCCTGCAGCCCCCGGCGGTGATGGGATCCGGCCCGGCCCCGGGCCAGGCTGCTGCAGCTCCCGCCGTGGGGTGAGAGCCTCACCAGCGGTGTTCTGCCCCACAGCCCCCACGTGCCCCATTTTCCCCATCAGCACTGAGCCCCAGCCCCGTTCACGTTACACCCCCGTGCTGCCCTCCCAGCCGTGCTCCCCCGTACGGCATCACCCCCCATCCCCAGTGCGCACCGCCCCCCACCCACAATAAACACCCCTGGCCCGAGCCCCGTCGCGTCGCTCTTTGCGCTGAGCGCCACCGCTGCGGCAGTGACAGCAGAGCCGCCCCGTTACAAAAGGTTTTATTAAAGGTTAAAATCGGCGCGGTGAGGAGCCCCGCTCACAGTGCTGGGGAGGCGGGGGTACAAACAGCCCTTGAGGTGGGCGCGGGCGCCCGGGGGTTGTGCTGGGTCGGGACGAGCGGAGTAGAAAAGTGTACAAAGGGTCGTTGTGCAGCACGGGGACACTGCGACCGGGACCCCCAACGGGGCCGGGACGTGTCCAAGGCACGGAGATGAGCGGGGCCAGCCGGGCCGCCCGCCGCCTCTCCCCTGCGCCCTGCTCACAGCTTGGCCCCCGCCTCCGGCAGCGCAGAGGGGGGGGGGAAATTCAGCACCAGAGAGCCCGGCTGGGAGCGCCCAGCCTGGGCCAGCACCCTGCCACGGGCTCGGCGGGACCCCAGCCCCACAATACTGCTCGGTCAGAGGTAGCACCAGCGCGGGGGGGGCCCTGCCGGCTCAGCACCGCGCCGCGGGGGCCGTAAACCAGAGCGGCGGCCGCAGCGGGCGCCCGTAGCCGGGGACGGGGCTGTAAACAGGCAGCGGCGCCGGGGACCCGTCGCGGCCGCGGCTCCGGGGGAGGAGAGCCCCGGCCCGGCTCAGCTCGGAGCCCGGCGGCGCCCCCGGCCCTGCGAAGCGGCACGGCCGCAGCCCCGGCTCAGGAGACGTGGGGCGAGGGCCGCCAGAAGCACCACTTGCTGCGGGTGTGCTGCTTGCGCTGCAGCTGCTCCTCGCGCTCCCGCTCCTTCTTGGAGCGCAGGTACAGGTCCTCCTCCTTCAGGTACCACACCGGCGGCCAGCGGTGCCGCTCGAAGTGCGCCTGGTTCTCTGGGGGAGGGGGGGGGCGGCGGGGGCTCAGCGCACAGCCAGCCCCCAACCCGACCCCGCACCGCCCGCGCCCTACCTGGGGACATGAACTTCATCTCGCGGGGGAAGCGGCGGCACACGCTGTTGTAGTTGGTGCAGATGTAGTGCAGGCACCAGGCGGCCAGCTGCCGGGCGTTGTGGAACTGCGGGGACGCCCATCAGGATGGGCCGAGCCGGGGGGCGGCGCCCCTCAGCTCCCCCCGTCCCGTACCTGAGTCATCTCCAGGTAGATGAGCACCTGCTCGTCGATCTCCACCTGCTGCATGAAGGCGCGGAGCAGCTCATCCACGGCGTACTGCTCTGGGGCAGGGATGGGGCCGTGAGCGCGGGGTGACGCCGGGCTGGGACGGCTCTTACATAAGGGCCGCCCGGGGCCGCATCGATCCCAGCGCCAGCCGGCCCTAATTGTATTGGCAGCTGACGTCAATGGGCAGCCGGGGCGGAGAGGGGGGGGGCTCACCTGTGAGCGCCTGCAGCCGGGGCAGGCAGAGGCGGTTGGTGAGGATGAGCAGCTCCATGGCGTCGAGGTCGGGTGTGGGCGTGAACACCCCGGTGTAGAGGAAATCGAGGACGGCACGCAGGCAGGCGCAGTTGGTGCCCGGCAGGGAGACCTGCAGGACAGGGGCGCGGGGACCGGCGCTGCGGGAAGGACAAACCCCCACCCGGACCCCCACGCGGCCAGGGCCGAGCGCGGGGATGCCGTGGGCACGGCGCCGTGCCGGCTGCTCCCCGCGGCAGCCCCCTCCCACCGTCCCCGTGCCCTCACCTCGGCAGCGTAGCTCTCCCGGAACGCCCCCCGGAACATGGCCATCATCCAGTCACAGCCGGCTATCAGCAGGGGTTTGTGCGCCGGCACGGCCCCGTCGTCCACGCGGAACACCACGTCTGGGCAGCACGGGGACAGGGATGCACGCCCCGCAACGGCGCTGCCACACGGGTGCCGCGAACGGCGTGGGGCGGGGGGGAGCGGGGGGGTTGTGACCCCAGCAGAGGGACCGCGCCGTACCTGCAAAGACGCCCTTCCCCAGGCACTCCTTGATGCGGTTGGCACGGCGCACGTGGAAGGCTTTGGTGATCTCCTGGTTCATGAAGCTCTCCTTGTTGAGCACGTTGGCCACCATCATGCGCAGGTCGAACACCTCCAGCAGCTCGGCGATGGTGGCCACCTGCATCAGGTCAGCGCACGCCCGCTCCAGCCGCCCGGTGTAGAGGTACTCCAGCACGGCGCGGAACGGCTCCGCCGCCACCGAGCGGTCCATGCACACCACCGTCATCCTCTTCTCCCTCCCGGCCACCGGGTCGGCCACCACCTCCCAGCGCATGCTGACGAAGCCCCGGCCCCACGCAGACAGATCGCGGGCGCCGTCCCCCGTCGCCGCCTGCAGCGCCTCGTCGCTCTGCACGGCGCGCAGCCCGCCCTGCAGCCCCTCGCCCAGCACCCCCCGCTCCCCGTCCAGGCTGCGGGCGCGGGCGGCCGGCTCCTTGCCCGTCCCCAGCGGCCCCTCCAGGGTAAAGAGGTCGTAGAACTTGGAGCAGGAGGTGGCCAGGTAGACGCGGTGCGCGAAGATGCGCTGCCCGCCCTGCAGCTGGAAGACGACGTCGGCGCACAGCGGGGTGCAGAAGAGCGCGGCGGGGCCCCAGGCACGGCTGGCCGGCGGCTCGGGGATGCGGATGACCGGCGGGGGGGGCTTGGGGGGCAGGAAGGGCGCCTGCAGCAACGGGCGCTGCATCTTCTTCAGGTGGGACTTCCAGAACTGCAGGTGGCGGCGGGAGATGAGCGCGGCGCGGATGGCGTTGTCAAAGACGTCCTTGATGCCGAACTGGGCCACCACGCTGGTCTCGTAGTAGGGGACGCCCAGCTCCTTGGCCACCTCGTGGCCCCGCTCTGGCGGCAGGATGTCCGTGGGTCGGATGGGCCTGGGGGACAGCGGGGGGGTTCATCACCACGCGTGGGACCCACTGAGCATAGGGGATCCGGAGGATAGGGGACCCTGTGACTGGGGGGGACCCACCGAGCACAGGGGGCCCAGAGAGCACAGGGGGCCCGGTGACTGAGTGGGACCTCCTGAGTGTAGGGGACCCAGTGACTGTGGGAGACCCAGCCCTGCCACCCCCTGGCGCAGCCTCACTTGGCCAAGGGACGCCTGGCACGGTTGACGGCGTCCAGGTCGGCGTAGCGCAGGTCCAGCTGGCAGCCCACCAGGATGATGGGCGTCCGCGGGCAGAAGTGTTTGATCTCAGGGTACCACATGGTCTTCACGTGGCGCAGGGAGTTGGGGTTGGCCAGCGAGAAGCAGAGAACCACCACGTCTGACCTGGGCCAGGAAGAGGAGGAGGAAGGTCAGAGCCCTGCACTGGCCCCCTGGGCACCAGCATGGAGAGACCCGCGGGCAGCAGCAGAGGGGACCCGGCCCCACGCCGTGCCCTACAAGGGGGTCCCGCAGGGCATCGGGAGCAGCCCCAAAGCCACGGCTGTGTTCTGCCCAGGACGTGACCGGGAGCCGTGCTGGGGCCGGGCCGGTGCCAGGACCAAGATAGACACCACCCGCCCTCGGGCCCCCCGCCAGCACGGGAGCTGTGAGCGATGCCGGCACCCACAGCCCTGCGGGACAGCGGTGGGGAGTGGGGGTCGCTGGGTGGGTGTGCGCCCCCCACACTGTGGCATTCCCCACAACCTCCCCCCGCCCCGGGCGCCCCCTGCCCCATCAGGTGCCCCCAGCCCCGTGGAGGGGTTGTGGGAGGGTGCCCCATGGAGCTGGCGCGGGGGCAGCGATAGCAGAGGGGCCGTGCCAGGGGCTGAGGGCTGTGCTTGTTTACAGCCTGGGCATTGCGCAGGGGGGGGGCCGGGTCTTCCCCTGCTCAGCCATGGGGCATCGGGAGCTGTGAGGTGGGACAGGACCCTACAGGGTGGGCCAGGACCCTACAGGGCACCGCACACTGCAGGGACTGGGGGGTGTGAGCTGGGCACAGCGGGACTCTGGGGTGTCCTGAAGCCCCCACTGCAGTTGTGGGTCCCCAACAGCCTCGGGACCCCCAGGAGCCCCATGGGACCCCACCCCCACGTGATGCCACCTCTATGGGAGAACCTGGAGGGGGAAGGGAGATCCCTCCCGAAGGCGAGGTCACTCCTGGGGGTGTCTGCAGGTCTTTGCCGGGGGGGGTCTCATGCACAGAGGGGGTCTCACCCACGGGGGTGCGTTCTCTCCCGGGGTGGGGGTCTCTCCCGAAGGGTGGTTCCCCAGCTGGAAGGCTTAACCCGGGGGGAGGTCTCTCCTGGGAGAGGGGGGGGAGGGGGCAACGCCGAGGGGGGGTTCTGTCCTATCTGGTTTCTCCCAGAGAGGAGTTTCTCCCCCTGGGGGGGGCTCTCATCCACAGAGGGTCGCTCCCTGGGGGGGGGTCCTCACCCAAAGCAGTGCCACCCAAAGGGGGGTGCCCCCTCCCGGGGGTTCCCTTCGGGGCCCCGCCCCCCACCTGCCGTAGGCGAAGCGCCGGTCCTTGTGGTGGTCCCCGAAGGTGTCCCAGAGCCGCAGCGACACGCTGACCTCGTCCACCACATCGCGGGAGCGCTCCAGCACCTGGGGGGGCGCGGAGGGGGGCGGGAGAGCGCTGAGCGGGGCCCGCCGCGACCCCGCCGCCCCCCCCGGCCGCGCACCTCCTGGCAGACGCGGTACTGGTCGATGGCCCACACGGTGGGCACGTGCGTGGCCAGCAGCTGGTATTGGCTCAGCGTCGCGTTGCAGGCGCGGGCGCAGATGAGGCGCGTTTTGCCCACCGCGTTGTCGCCCACCACCACGCACTTGATGGTCTCGACGTTGGGCCGCTCGTAATCCACGTCCAGGTCCATGGGGTCCCGCCGGCGCTCAGCGCCGCGCCCCGCGCCGCCCCCCGCCCATCCCCGCGCCGCTCCGCCGCGCCGCCGCCCGGGCCCGTTAGCTGCCGCCCTGCCCCGCCCCGCCCCGCCCCTCCGCCAATCCGCGACGGCCTCGCCTCGCCTCGCCCCGCCCCCTCCGCCCCTCCCCTCGCCCTCCGCCAATCCGCGCCCGCCCCGCCCCTTAGGGCCACGCCCCCTCGGTCGCTCCGAGCCGCGCCCCCGCGCTGCCCCGCCCGCGCGCGGACAAAGGGGCGCCGCCAGGGGGCGCCGCGAACACGTGACCGCCACCGCCCCCCGCTCCGAGCCGCGCCGGAGGCCACGCCCCCTCGTGGGCGGGGTTACCCGATAGGCCACGCCCCTTTGCGCGCTCACCCGCGGAGCGCGGCCGGAGGGGGCGGACAGAGGGACGGACAGAGGGACGGGAGGGACGCGGGGACAGCGGGACGGGAGGGGCGTCGCGGGGACACCGGCGACGCTGGGCCGCGGGCGCAGCAGGGGGAAGTGGGGCCGTAGGGACGCAAGTGACAGCCGGAACGGCGGGGACACCCGGAAGCTTCCGTGACACCGGGGGCACGAAGCGCCGCCGGGGCTGCGGGGGTCGCCGTGGGGCTCGTGGCGGAACGGCGGGGACCGGCAGCCCCGACCCCTCGTGTCCGCCCCCCGGGGCCGTGCCCGCACCGCGCCGCTTCCCCGGCCCGGCCCTCCACGTGCTGGCAGCCGCCAGCGGGGCCCAGGGGCGCAGCGCGGAGCCCGCAGTGAAGTCGTGGCAGCGAGGATGGGGCGCTGCCGGGACACGGGCGGTCGGGATGTGGGACGCTGACGGGGACACGGGGCAATACGAGGACGGGGGGCACGGACCGGGACATTCAACACCGCTGGATATGGGGCACTGGTGGGGACGTGGGGCGCTGCTGGGACACGGGGCACTTGATGGACGTGGGACACAGATGGGACACGGGATACTGCGGGGACACGCGACACTGATGGACGGGGGACGCTGGTGGGGACGCGGGGCACAGCGGGACACGGGGCACGGATGGGGACACGCAGCACTGATGGCTACGGGACGCCGCGGGGACGCGGCCCCGTGGGATCTCAGCCCCGGCCGCCACGGAGCCCCCCGCTCTGCCCCCCTCCTCCCCCCCCCATCCTCAGCCGCCGCCGCGCATTTTTTCGCTCTCTCGGGGCTTTGGGGTTTGAGGCCGCGGTGACCAAATAAGGGAAGCGGCGCCGGGCGGCCGCGGGTGGGGGCGGCCCCGCGTGGGTTCCCCGCGTCCCGGCGTGGGGCCCCGCACCGCAACGCGGCACCGCGTGGGGCCCCGAACCGCCTCGCCTTACATCGCGGGTCCGAACGCCGCGCCCACGGGACCGCGTGGGGCCGCCCCGCCCCCGCACCCCGCGCCACGCGGGACCCACGGTGCCCCCCCCGCCCCGCCCGGCTTTGGCTCCGCGCCCGGTGCCGCCCGCCCCGCCGGGTCCCGCCCGGTGCCGCCGGTCCCTCCCCACCTCTAAGACCGGGGCGGGGCCGCGCAGGAGCTGCCGGGCGGTGCGGGGCCGTGGGAGAACCATGGGGGCCCCGGGGCTGGAGCGGCACCGCCTGGCGCTGCTGGCGGCACGGGAGGACGTGGGCAACCCGCGGGCGGCCACCAACTGGTGAGGGAACGGCGCCGGGACGCGGGGGGGTCCCGAGCGGGACGGGCTGCGGAGCCGGACGGGGGGTTCCGGGGCGCACCGGGGCCGCGCACGTGGGTCGGACTGCGTGGGCCGGGGGCGGCGGGGCCGTGCCGGGACGGAGCGGCGACCCCGTGAGCGTGGGGTGGGAACGGGGAACCGGGACCGGGGTGCGGCTGCGGGGGGGCGGCGAGTTCCGCACGGTGCCCCTACGGCGCTCGCAATGCCCCCCCCCCACCCTCCCCGCGTGGAACCGCGCCCCGCCCGCGCCTGGGAGCCCCGCGCTCCCCCCCATTCCGTCGCACAGCGCTGCCGTCCGGACCGCCCCCCCGTCCTCGCCCTCCGCTCCGTCCGGGGCCGCGCGGCCGCTGCCCTCTGCCCGGTGCCCGTCCGCCCTCTGCGCCGGGACGCGAAGTCGCGCCGCCGGGGGGGGCCGCCCGGTGTCGGTACCCGGGGGGGCGGGCACGGCGCTTCCCGCCGCTCCATTGTCCCCGGGCGGATGACGGCGGCACTTCCACGAATTGAGGCCGTCGGGGGGCGGGGTGAGGGGCGGCGGCCGCGAGCCCCCACGTGCCCCCACCCCCCGGTCCGACCCTTACCCGGCACTGAGCGTCCCCCGCCCCCCCAGGGCCGTGTTCGCCTACGAGAAGCACCATGACCTCAGGCTGCTGGACTCGGGAGGTACGGGGGGGGCGTTGTACGGGGAGGGGGGATCCGTGGGGGGTCGCGCGGCACGGGATCCTCCTGATCCCCCTCCCGCAGCCGGCGGTGTGGACGAGCTGGCGGCGAAGTTCTGTGCCAGCAGCATCATGTATGGGCTGTGCCGAGTGCGGGACCCCGGCAGCGGAGCCCCCCGCGTCGTCCTCATCAGCTGGGTGAGCCGGGGGGGCAACGGGGGTCTGCGCTGTGCCGTCCTACAGCGGGCACGGCACGGCTGGGCTTGGGGGATGAGCGGCTGGGGGTGCCGGGGTGCCGGGGATGGGATGGGAGGGCGCTGAGCCGGCAGCGCTGAGCCCCGCGCCTGTGCCAGGTCGGGGAGGAGGTGCCCGAGTCCCAGCGCCAGGCGTGCGCCGGACACCTGCCTGCCATCAGAGCCTTCTTCAAGGTGAGTCTGGAGCCCGGGGGGGTCCATCCAGGGAGCCCACCCCCCTCTTCCTGCCCCGCAGCCCCGACCTTTGCTTGCTGCTGCGTGCGGTGCATTCCTGGAGCTGCTGACTCAGGCGCTGCCGTTCCCAGCTCCCAGTTCCAGCTCCCAGTTCCAGCTTTGGCCGCTCTGTGGCTGCGGTTGGGCTCTCTGCCCCGGCCCCGTTCTGCCCCGGCCCCGTTCTGCCCCAGCCCTGTCCTGCCCCGGCCGCTCTGCCCTGCCCTGTGGAGCTGGGGCTGCTCCCCGCCCGTGCCTCCATCCCTGCACGCCCTGGGGTGAGATCCCACGTCTGGATCCGGCCCCACATCTGGATCTGCTGAGCACCGCTGGGAACGGTGCCCAGATTCCCCGGGGACGGTTTGGGAGCGGATCCCGGCGCGGGGGGGCCAAGGGTGGCTCAGGGCGCTGTGGGGCCGACGCTGGCCCCATCCCGCTGCCAGGAGGCCACCGCCGTGCTGAGCGCCCGTCGTGCCGAGGAGGTGACGCAGGAGGGGCTGAGCCGCGTGCTGGCACAGCTGGCCCCCGCCGCAGCCCCGAGCACCAGGAGGACCCCCCCGGCAGACAGCGAGGAGTTGGTGGTGAGCGGGGCGGGGAAGCGGGGCGGGGCGGGGGGTCCCTGTGGGCGCCGCCGTGCACCCTGAGCCCCGCTGCTCCCGTAGGGCACCAACTACCGTAAGACCAACCCGGCGTTGGAGATCCGCCGCACCAAACGGGATTCGTTCTGGGCGCAGGCGGAGGTGAGGAGCTGTGGGTGCCGTGGGGGGGTGCGGGGTCCCATCCCGCTGAGTCCCTGCGGTGCAGCGCGAGGAGGAGCAGCGGAAGGAGGAGGAGCGGCGCCGGGCGCTGGAGGAGCGCAGGAGATGGGAGAGGGAGCGCATGGAGGAGGAGCGCAGGGACGCGGCGGAGCGCGAGCGGCGCTGCAGGGAGAAGGAGCAGCGCATCGAGGAGCAGCGGTGAGGCGGGCCCTGCCCGTGGCTCTGAGCCCAGCACCCGTGGGTGCCTGCAGTCCCCGTGTGCCCCTGCCCCGTGCCCAGCACCTGGAGGTGCCGGCGCTGAGCTCCCGTCCCCGCAGGAAGGAGCAGGCGCGGATAGAGGCGGAGGAGCGCAGGAAGGAGCAGCAGCGATGGGTGCGTGGGGCTGCGGGGTTAAGTTCTTCACTGAGAGAGCGGTGAGGTGCTGGAACAGCTGCCCAGAGAGGCTGTGGATGCCCCGTCCATCCCTGGAGGTGTTCAAGGCCAGGTTGGATGGGGCCCTGGGCAGCCTGGGCTGCTGTGAAATGTGGAGGTTGGTGGCCCTGCATGTGGCAGCGGGTTGGAGCTTTGTGATCCTTGAAGTCCCTTCCAACCCGGGCCATTCTGTGATTCTGGGATGGAGGGGTGCCACACGGTGTTGCATCCTCACCGTGTCCCCAACCCCACGTCCCTGTCCCTGCATCCCCATCTCCACATCCCTGTCACCCTGTCCCCATCCCTACGTCCCTGTCACCCACGTCTCCATCACCGTGTCTCCATCCCTGTCCCCACATCCATCCCCATCCCCGCAGGAGCAGCAGCAGCGTGAGCACGAGGCAGCAATGCGGGATCGCTTCCGGCGCAGCGAATCCATTGAGAAGGCGGCGGTGAGTGGGGTGGGGGGACACTGAGGGCGGAGGGGGGCCGGGGGGGTTTGCACACCACAACAGCCCCCGGTGCTGCAGGAGGCGGCCGTGCTGGTGGCTCAGCGGACGCAGAACCCGCGGGACTTCTTCCGGCAGCGGGAACGCGCGGGATCCACCTCGGGCAGCACCTCGGGCACCGCGCTGCCCGCCGGGCCCCTGGGCACACGGCCCGGTATGTGGGGGGATGGGGGGGGGCGGCCTGGGGGGTCCCTGGTGGGTGCGTGCTGACTGTGCCCCCCCAGGCGCCCGCCGCCCCTTCCTGCGGTACCAGCGCAGCCTGACCGAGTCCGCCTTCATCTTCCGCCGCCCGGAGACCCCCACCTCACCCACAGCCCCCGATCCCGGTGCTTTCCAGGCTGCGGCCCCCCCCAGCCCCCGCCGACCCCCGGGGACTCTCCCCGGCCCGGCCGGGGTGGGGCCTCCCCATGCCAGTAGCCCCGTAGGGACGTGGCGCCCGCCCTGTGCCGCCGCGGGGAGCCCCCCGAGACCCCCGGGGGCCGGGACTCCATCTCCCATCAGCCCTTCCGGGCCCCCTGTCAGCCCCTCCCGGCTGCAGAGCCCCCCCA